TCCCAGTGAAAAGAACAGGTCATCAAAGAAGGAGGTACCTTTCTCTGAAGGGAGGAGAGAACTTCCACTTTGACCATGGCCTTGTCTAAATATGATCAGAGTTCGTGAACTCAATAGGCTTCCATAGCCTTGGCAGCTCATGACAAGAGCCTAGGGTGATTACTGATGCTATAAACAAGAGTGTCAATCACCGTGCACTTACTCCTCATGTAGGATCTCTGTCCTTAATGTGCTGTACATTGTGATTTAATGCTATAACTAGTACTCAAACAGTATTTTTCACTTTGTGTTTCTATGTGGGTGCAAACTGTTGAAATCTTTACTTAATATATGCTAAACTGATCTTCTGTATATAAAGAGAATTGAAAATGAATCTTGATGTGAATGGAAGGGGGAGGGAGTGGGAAAGGGAAGGGTTGCGGGTGGGAGGGAAGTTATGGGGCGGGTAAGCCATTGTAATCCATAAGCTGTACTTTGGAAATTTATATTCATTAAATAAAAGTTAAAAAAATCATAAAAAATAAAAAAAAAATTATGTGTCCAGGAATGTATCCATTTCTTTCATATTTTTAAATTTGTTCCCATATAGCTGTTTATAGTATTCCTGATGATTCTTTTTATTGCTGTGGTGTCCATTGTGACATCTGCTTTTTCATCTCTGATTTTATTTATTTGTATCTTCTCCCTCATTTTTGGTGAGTTGGGCCAATGCTGTATCAGTTTTGTTTACTTTTTCAAATAAAACAAGCTCTTCATTTCAATGATCTTTTTTATTGTTTTCATTTCAATTTTGTTTAATTCTTCTCTAATTTTAACTACTCCTTTTCTCCTACTAATTTTAGGTTTGTTTTGTTGTTTTTTTTTCTATGTGCTTGAGATGCATTGATAGCTCATTTATTTGATGCCTGTCCACTTTCCTCATGTAGGCATCAATAGATACAAACCTCCTGCTCCTTCTAATGAGTATGTTTATGTTGCGTTGTCATCTTCAATCATTTCCAGGAATTTTTTATTTGAATTTTGAATTTTTCTATGATCCAGTGTTCATTCAGGAGTTTGTTGTACAGGCTTCCATGTGTTTGCATATTTTCTAGAGATTCTTTTTTTTTACAGGCAGAGTGGACAGTGAGAAAGAGAAAGAGAGAGAGAGAGAGAGAGAGAGAGAGAGAAAGGTCTTCCTTTTGCCACTGGTTCACCCTCCAATGGTCGCCGCAGCTGGAGTGCTGCAGCCGGCACACCGCACCTATCTGAAGGCAGGAGCCAGGAGCCAGGTGCTTCTCCTGGTCTCCCATGGGGTGCAGGGCCCAAGCACTTGGGCCATCCTCCACTGCACTCCCTGGCCACAGCAGAGAGCTGTCCTGGAAGAGGAGCAACCGGGACAGAATCCGGCACCCCGACTGGGACTAGAACCCGGTGTGTCGGCGCCGCTAGGCAGAGGATTAGCCTATTGAGTCACAGCACCGGCCTCTAGAGATTCTTAAGTTGTTCATTTCCAGCTTCATTCCATTAAGGTCACAAAAATTGCAGTTCAATTTCAATTTTTTTGTGTGAATTTGATGAGACTGTCTTTTTGGCCTAGCATATAGTCTATTTTAGAGAAAGTTCCATGAATGTAGGGAACGAAGTTTCTCCCAAAGCACTCTCAGTGAGGTCAAATCCTCCTGACCACAGGATGTGGCTGAAGAAACTGATTAAGGATATTAAATGACCTACTAACAAGAATACCAGTGTGCCCATTTGGGAACATTGGCTCCCACAAGGACATGCAACTGCTTTCCCAAACTTGCTTATCTAATAACCAAGTCACAAGAATGCACATGTGCCATACAAATGGCTGATGCAATCCTTGTCCAAAAAAAAGCATGCTGGGATTGTCCAGCAGTGCTTTTCAGAGGAGGCACTCCTCTGTCCTGTCTCTCCTTTCTCTTGCAACCCCCAACAACTGTTGCCTGAAGAGGGACCCTTGGCAGTGTGTGCAAAGGACAACTCACCAAACCCAACACGGCCTATGGATGCACCATTTCATCTCCTCGAGATATTAGTGAGTGATAAACCTGGGGAATTCCCTGTCCATGGCACAACAGACACATAAGGCTGAACTGCACTATCTCCTTCAGAAAGCAGGACACCATTTATCAGAAAATGTGCTCATGCATTTGCTGCAGGAAATTGATAGTTACTGCCCTTGGTACCTTATAAAAGCACCTTAAAAGTAACTAAGAGAAAATCGGTCAGAAGTCACATCAGGAGCCTCAAGCGCCAATTCCGGTTTTTCATTCATGGCATTTCTGCCGCGATGCCATTACTAGGGTTGCGAGACCCTAGGCAACTCTTATGGCCAGGAGGGTTGGTCGATGGGCTCATCCCCGCTGCCCCATTATGAAGTTTCCACACCTTCTGCACCTGCTGAAGGTTACCGAAACCCAGTACAATTTTGGGCTCAGGAATATCAAGAATTATCTTCTGTGTGGTCCATAGATAATTTAAATAACAAGGTCTCTATCAATCTGGAACAGTCACTAGGAGAGCGAGCCTATTCAAATCTTGGTCAATAAGTTGCTTATCCTCTAAGGGAGGCCTATGTGCAAATCTCTAACGTTGCACTAAAGGCTTGGAAAAAGCCCTGATGTTAAAGACCCTTCCATATCCTTTTCAGCAGTCCATCAGGGGATGACTGAGGGCTGTATGTCCTTTGTGTACAGGCTAGAGAAAGCCATTTGACATCAGGTAGATAATCAAGAAGTGGCACAGATGTTACTAAAGTAAATGGCTTCTGAAAATGCTAACCAAGACTGTAAAAATGAATTGAAAACGGTCTACACTGAGCCTGAAACTACCATGGTAAAAATGATCAAATTATGTCAAACTGTAGGGACCAAAACTTACAAATCTAACTTACTGGCAGCTGCCCTTAAGGCCTGTGGGAACCAAGGCCATTTTAAAAAAGCCTGCCAGTCACTGCCAAAATCAAATTCTTGAACTTCAAAAAAGTGTTCACAATGCCAAAAGTGTTATCATTGGAAAATCAGTGTCACTCTGTCCCTTCTGCAAACTTGAAGTTGGGCCAGTCCTCAGCTCTGGCCCAACAGAGGGTATTGATTGTGCAGCAACATCCAAGTCCCTGTCCACAATCTTCCAATAATTCCTTCATGCTACTGCCTGCAATGCCAAATTATATTTTTATTTTCAGGAGCCAATCTCCCCTGAAATACCTGAAACCTTCTATAAGGTAACCACAGAATTAACAGCTCCTTACCTGAAAAGTCTGTGGGACTGGTTTTGCCGAGGACACATGCTTATAAAAGTGCTGATTATACAGGGATTATTATGTACAGTTGTGGAAAAGTTACCCTCCAAATTTTCCTCTCCAACTTCTGTTGTAAAGTTACTTGTCCTATATATTTCTGCTTTGAGTAAAGATATTTTGTGAGGAGATCAGGGTTTTGGAGCTACATTGGTTTCTGCCATTACTCAAATTTCTAATTTTCTTTCTCAAGTGCCTATTCAGATTGACTCTCAGAAGTGTTCTAGACTGATTGATACTGAGGCAGACTTCTCTGTCACTCCTCTAATACAGTGGCCTTCTACATGGTCCTCAGTTTCTGATGACCCCTTGTGGGGCATAGGCCGTAACTCTCAAACCTGACAGAGTCATAAATGGCCAGCTTGTTAGAATCCAAGTGATCATCGTCATGTTGTTCATATCCACTCTTATAGTCTTCCTAATCCCTTTCTTATTTAGGGACGGAATCTCCTACAACAACTTCAAGCCACCATTCATAAAATTTATAGTAGGGGCCTCCGCTTGTGTATTCCTTTGACATACTGTTCTCCCCTTAACCTGGCTGCCTGGAGAGCCAGTATGGGTAGAACAATGGCCACTTTCCAAAGGGAAAAAAAATATCTGCTGTGGAGGCCATAGTCAAAGAACAATTACAATTAGGACATATTGAACAATCTACTAGCCTTTGGAATATGCTGAGAGTCTCACAGGCATGGAAAGCCATGACACGGTGGCAAAAAACAATCTAAATGAAAGATCCTGATGAACAAGTCCCCAACAGAAGGAACAGGCCATCAGGGAGAGAGGCACCTTTCTCTGAAGGGAGGAAGGAACCTCCACTGTGATACGGCCTTGACTAAACAAGTTCAGAGTTGGTGAACTCAAGGGGCTCCCATAGCATAGATAGCTCATAGCAAGAGTCTCGGGTGATTGCTGACGTCATAAATAAGAGTGCCAATTGTTAAATCAACAACGGGAGTCACTGGGCACATGCTCCCCATGTAGGATCTCTGTCCTTAATGTGTTCTACTATGAAACTTAAAAAAAACACTACTAGTCGAACAATACCCTATACCTTGTGCGGTTGGTTGTGTGAGTGCAGCCTGTTGAAATCCTTGCTTAGTATATACTAAGTTGACCTTCAGTATATGAAGGTAATTGAAAATGAAACTCGATGAAGGGCGGGATGGGAGAGGGAGTGGGAGAGGGGAGGGCAACGGGAGGGAGGGAAGTTGGGGGGGAAGCCACAACAATACAAAAGTTGCACTTTGTAAATTCACATTTATTAAATAAAAAAATAACTATATAACAAACAAAAAAAAAAGAAAAAGAAAAAAAGAACTTAATACTTTACCCTTTTAGTATTTTTTTATGTTCTACTTAAAACTATTGGTTGAACTCTGTAATTAATACATAATTACTCTTAGGTGTTTAATTAATGCTATAACTAGTACTCAAATAGTATTTAACACTTTGTGTTTCTGTGTGGGTGCAAACTGTTGAAATCTTTACTTAATATATGCTAAATTGATCTTCTGTATATAAAGATAATTGAAAATTAATCTTGATGTGAATGGAAGGGAAGAGGGAATGGGAGAGGGGAGTGTTGTGGGTGGGAGGGAAGTTATGGGGGGGAAGCTATTGTAATCCATAAGCTGTACATTGGAAATTTATGTTCATAAAATAAAATAAAATAAAATAAAATATAAAAAAAGAAAACATCTGGTAAGTGGAGAATATGGAACCCCTTCAGTATAGATTACCTAACTCCAACAACTTTGGGACACACCCCTTAAGGGTGAATCTACTCGCCACATTATCAAACATCTACTCTTGGCAATGGCTGTCTTGGGTAAGTCTAGCTGACGAAAAACTGATAATGCCACCACATACACTTCAGCTGTTTTTTCTAGTTTCTCTCATTTGTGAGAAAAGAAAAAAAACACATGGTATTCTTTACAATGCCACTGGCCAAGCTATTTTAGAATGCACAAATCCACTCTTAAAATCCTTTTACATAAACAATTAAAGAAAGGAGGAAACACTGCAGGACAAATTAATCGAACCATGTCTGTCCTTTTATTTACACTAATTTTGAGGCAGCTGAGGTCCTGTTGAAAAAACATTTTCACTCCCCACAGGGTGCACTAAGTCCATTAATATATTACAAAAAACTCTGATATGTCCTGGAAAGGACAAGAACCACTGCTAACATGCAGGAGAGGCTATGCTTCTGTTCTCTCCCACAGGACTTGTGTGGATTCTTGCACATTGTGTCTGCCCTGTACACCATCACAAGTTGGCTTCAAGGCCTTCAGAATCCGATCCCTCAGTTCTGTCTCAGGTTGGAAGGAGGAGAGACTATATCTCAACCTCGCAGACTTCCTCACCCTGAAAAACCACCAGTTATGTGGGGAGATATCAAGTCATTAGTTGCTTCTGCTCAGTGATTGCTCCAAGAACATCAAGAAGAAACCACTGACACTGTTTTGGTAGCCAATTGACAAAGAACGTGTTACTGTTACTTCACCACCATCACTGTCAGCATGTGTTGTTTCAACCTTTCTAAGAGTAGTCACTCCATAGAAACTGAAATTCAACATGTGAAAAAACTAGTGGAAGAGATTAAAATAAGTGATGAGCCATGGAATATCTAGGATTTTATTACAGGATGGCTGCTGAGTTTTGCCTGGTTAAAACAATTGTTTTTCTATAGTTGCCAAGTTGTGGCTGCAGTGATCCTGATATGCTGCTTCTTTTAGTACATCCCATCCTTGATTAATACTTGTAAAGACTGTAATCCCTGCTTCCAAAAACCAACATATTTCTAATGGTTACTTATAAAACAAACAAAGGGAGGAATATAGGGACCGATTTTCTGCCAAAGAACTCTCAGTGAGATAAAATCCTCCTGAACACAGAATGTGGCCACAGAAACTGATTGTGAATAATAAATGACCTAACAAGAAGACCAGTGAGCCACTATGGGAACATTGGCTCCCACAAAGATATGCAGCTGCTTTCTCAGACATGCTTTTCTAATATCCAAGTCACCAGAATAATGCACGTGCACTGTACAAATGACTGATATAATACTTGTCAATGCAAAAGCATTCTGGGATTGCCCAGCAGTGCTGTTCAGAGGAGGGGCTCCTGTGTCCTGTGCCTCCTTTCGCTTGCACTCTCCAACACATGCACTGAAGAATATAGTGTGTATTTTCCATCTGAGAGCTGAAAGGTTCTTTAGACATCAGTTAGGGACATTTGGTTCATTGTAGATTAGCCCTGTTGTTTCTGTTTACTAGATCTGTCCATTGATGGAAATGGGTTGTTGATGTTCTTCATTACTATTTATTTGTGTGTATCTCTCCCTTTAGAACCATTAACATTTCTTTAAATAGCCATGCACCGTGGCATTGGGTGAATGTGTATTTATTGTAGTTACAACTTCCTGTTAAATTAATCACTTAATCATTGCATGATGCCCATTTTTGTATCTTTCAAACACTCTTCTGTTAAAGTCTACATTGTTTGATATTAGGATGTCTGTATCAGCTTGTTTTTGCTATATATTAGCATAGAATATCTTTTTCAATCCTTTCACATTCAGTCTGTTTGTATCTTTGTTGATGTGTTTCTTGTATACTGAAAAGAGTTGGATCTTATTTTTTTTAATCCATTCAGCCACTCTGTATTTTTCACTGGATAATTTAAGCCATTTGCATTCAAAGTTACAACTGGTAAGTAACAACTTAGTCCTTCCATTTTCCAATAAATACTCCTATTGGTTCATTTGGATTTTCTTTGTACTTTTACTGGGAGATTTTCTGCCTTTACTATCTTTCATAATGATGACAATCTTTGTGTGGTTCTCTGCAAAGCACATTGTTATGTATGGTGTATAAAGCTAGATGAGTGTTGAGAAATTATTTCAATTTCGGTTTCTTATGGATGGTCTTTATTTCATTTACATTCTGAATGACATCTTTGCACAGAACAATGTTCTGTGTAGACAGTTTTTTTTTTTCAAGACTTGAATCATGTCTTTTCTCTTATGGACTGTAAGGTTTCTATACAAAATCAGCTGTGAGTCCTTTTGGAGATCCTCTGAATGTAATCCGACATTTCTCTCCTGCACATTTAGGAAACTTTTCTTTAAGTTTGACTACACTGTTTTGTGAAGTTCTTCTCTGGTTATTTCTGCTAGGAGATTTATATGCTTCCTCTACTTGGATGTCCATTTCTTTCTCCAAATTAGGGAAATTTTCTGTTATTATTTCACTGAATAGGCCTTATAACCCATCCTCTCTTTATACACCTTCTGGAACTCCTAACACCTGCATGTTGGGTCATTTGGTAGTATACCATAAATCTGTAACATTAATTGTAAAATAATTTCATGTACTTAATCAATTTCTTCATCTTCATATTCTAATATTGAAGTGTTTTTGTGTGCTTTAGAGGAATCATGTTTTCTTCCTTATTCTCATATCTTATTTATAATTAGGATTTTCTGGAAATACTTGTTGGTTTTCTCCACTAATGGATTTCACATTTGAACTATGCCTGTGTGGCTTAGTGGAGTATCTGTTCTTTCAATGACTACCTAGAGGTGTGTGCTGCATGTGGCCAGGTATCTCTGGTTAGTTCTTCAATGTGAGGCTAGTGCTGGAAATAGAGCTACCAGGAATATGGAAAAAAATTGATTAGGAGTACTTTTCTCATATCAGATAAAATAGACTTGGAATCAAACACGTAAAAAGATGAAAAGGTCATTATATATTAATAAAAGGAACACGTCAGCAAGAAAATGTTACAATCAAAATTATGTTTCCACCCAGCACAAGAACACAAAGAAATATAAAGCAAAACTATTATAGACTTAAAGGGAAACATTACTCCAATGCAATAATAGTATGGGACCCTACTGTCATAAATGCACTGACCATCCAGATAGAAAATCAATAAATAACATCAGAATTTAACCATACTATTGAATAAATGGGCCTAACAGATATATTTATGGAACACTTCACTAAAAACTACAGAATATACTTTTTCTCATCAGCACATTGAACAATTTCT